ATCCCATAAACAGGGCTACGCACACACACGCATCCGGTTCCGGATTTGCCTGTCACTGTGGCCTCCAAAGGAGAGCCACACGCTTACATTCATATATAAACATATGTGATAAGAACATTCAGTCGCAACGAGACTGGACCTTAACGTGATGCGACGGTTTGAGTACCTCCTTCACCCATTGAGCTACATTGGGTGATGCCTCCGGGCACCTTGAGAGCTACTCCTACCAGGTTGGTCAATGATCAGAGACCAGACAAACTCAGTCTCCTGGTCCTCCATATTAGGAGGACAGCTATTAGACATGCACTTATGGTGAACGAGCTTGATAGCTATTCTTTACTCTTCCTATTTTCTGTCTCTTGACAGTTGTTTAAACGCTCTACTGAGTTCGCCCGATTGGTACATCCACGTCATTGTTAATGGACGCTCATCGTCATGCCCTTCTCAGTTGCGCTATTTGCAAGAACATATTCTATTGGATTTTTCTTCTCATCACTGTTCTACTTGGTTATGTTAAGGGAATATTTAGTTGTCACACAATTATTGTACTAGTTTTCAACTTTTGGGTCTGCATTCCTTATTCTCGGTGGTTTAAACGTTTCATTTCGTCATTCTGATTGGCCAGTGCCCGTCACTGTAAATAGTCGTTCGCTTTACGCTTGAATTATAATGATACTATTTTTAAGGACCTACGCGATTCGCTCTTGAGTACACGGTTGCTTATTCGCCGTTGCATTTGACGTTTTTCCTTCAGTTGGTTGGCTCAAGTGTACTTTACTAGCTTCCCTTCATTTTATCTTCAAACTATATAAACAACTGTGATTTCATGTATGCAAGTCTCTTTCTGACTCGTCTTGGACTTCTTCTTGCGGGGACACATTCTATCCCGAACTGAACGCGGTACTACGCAGTGCTACTAATTCAGATATTATAGTACTTGCAGGGGATATGAACGCACAAGTAGAGCATCTCAGCTTTTCAGAAGCTCAGCTGGGTGGTAATTATGGACTTAACTCCGAACGGACTGACAACGGTGAGCGTCTGCTACAACTGTGTGCGGAACACCAGTTGTTTCTTAGTAGCATTGCTCTGAGACACAGTGGGCGCCGAAGTGCCACTTGGCTTCTTCCTGTAGCTGGCCAGCAATGAACTCAAATTGACCTCATAGCCATAAGTTACAGGTGGCATGGTTCCATCCTGGATTGCCGCTCGTACTGGAGCACCTGTGTTGACTCTGATCATGCGTTGGTACGCTGTCGTTTTGCCGTGAACTTTACCGGGAGGCGCACCAAGTGTCCCCTCCGATTGGCAACTGAGAAATTGTCTCAGCTCTCGGTCAGGCAAGCCTATCAAGACGCACTGCATACCGAACTGTCTTGTTCTAATGACACTGAGCTTCAGTGGAATAGGATCTCAGCCGCCATGCACGACGCAGGAGCATCTGCTTGTGGCACTATCAATCGTCACCGCACCAGTCACTGGATATCCGAGAGATCGGTGAACCTGTTGGAATCTAGAAGACACATCCCGGTTGGCTCTGAGCACAATGTGACCAGACGCGTTATTAGGCGTGAACTAAAGCGGAGCCTACGTGTAGACAAGGAAGTAGGGCTCAAGAAATAGAGGAGGCAGGAGCAGTAGGCAATTACCGGAAGCTCTTCCGGCTGATCCGCACCACTGGTCCCAAGAAACCAGGCGTCAGTGAGACAATCAGAGATAGCGCGGATTCACTGATACACAATAAGGAACGCCGTATGACTCGTTGGGTGGAACACTTTCAAGATCAGTTCAGTTGGCCTCCTGCTACCGGACCTCTTCCTACTCAAGTGATGCAGGGCGAGCCATAGTCGGTTAGTTTAGAGCCTCTGTCGGAGGCCGAGATCCGAAATGCGATCACAACCCTCAATCGTTTTCGTTCCGCTGGCCCGGATTCCCTCCCACCTGCACTACTTAAGGATGGAGGTGAGGTTCTCTGTAAAGCACTGACCTCCCTATTCGAACGTATCTGGAATGAGGAGTGTCCCGGCTGATTGGAGCGAATCGATTATAGTGGCAATATACAAAAGGGCAGTCGCACAGACTGTGCGAACCACAGGGGGTATTAGCCCGACGCCAGTTGTGACAAAATTACTGGCCTCGATTATCGTTCGTCGCCTCGCTGTGGAACGGGAATCTCGGATTAGGGAAGAGCAAGCCGGTTTACCCCCAGGACGTGGCTGTACAGACCATATATTCACTTTGCGACAGGTGCTAGAGCAGCGCCACGCATACCACAGGCCGACAGTAGCTGTTCCTTGATTTCAAGAGTGAGTTGGATTCAGTCGATTGATCGATGCTGTTCGAAATACTTGCGCAGAACGCTGTTCCCACGAAATATGTGAACATGCTACGTGCCCTGTACTCGAACACTACAGGCCGCGTCAGGGTCTACGGTGGCCTATCGGATAGCTTTCCGACAACTAGTGGCATTCCTCAGGGTTGTCTGATTTCCCCATTTTTGTTCAATTTCGTCGTGGATTCTATCATGGAGTGTTCCCTTGCGGAATCTCACGATGTAGGCGTTGAAATGCTGCCTGGTGAAAGATTAGTATATCATGATTATGCGGACGATATCGTCTTGCTTTTCGACGGTGTTGCGGCTGCAAAATCAACCCTGAATATCCTGTATAGAATTGTCCCATTATTTGGTATGCGCTTTGCACCTTCAAAGTGCAAAGTACTGCTGCAGGACCACCAGCCAGTTTATGACTCCTTGACGCTTGCTAACGAGGAACTCGAGGTGGTTGATCAATTCACTTATCTTGGCAGCTGCATCTGCAACGATGGGCGCATAGACACTGACGTCAACTCACGCACTGTAAAGACCAGAGCTGCCTTCTTGAATCTGTGGCATCTTTGGCGACAGAAGGGAGTTTCCCTTCGTCCGAAAGTACGTGTATACAAGGCCACAGTGAGGGCGGTTCTGCTGTGTGGTAGTGAGACTTAGCCGCTTCGGTCTGAAGATATGAGGCGCCTTCAAATCTTTGATTATCGTTGTCTGCGAAGCATTGCTGGTGTCGGATGGCACCAGCGTGTCCGCAACGATGATGTGCGTAGGCGAGTACTAGGTGGTGAAAATCATGCTAGCTCCCTAGAACAACAGATAGCAGTGAATAAGTTGTGTTGGCTCAGACACGTGCTACGCATGCCTGGTCACCGGTTACCTAGGAGGGCCTTGTTCAGTCTGCCAGGTGCAAGGGGGCGCAACGTTCGAGGTGGACAGAAGTTGACTTGGCAGCGGCAAATGAAGTCACTGACAACTAAACTGGGTGCCGTTGGTCCGTCTCGCCTTCCGGGTTGGAGTCCACGTGACTCATCTTATGCTTGGCTTGAAACTTTACAAGACATGGCTCGCAACCGACACCAGTGACGCGTCTGCTGCCGTCTCCTAATCGGATTGCCTGTTTAAAGTGTGTTTGATACTGAGTTATCTGCGGGGTAATAGCTGATTATGACGCGTGGCAGTGAAAGCCGCAAGGAATCTGTCTCTCCGATGCTGCCTTATCTTTGCACGATTACCAGCTGTTTGTGACGGTATGTTGTCTACACAAGGTGTAGGCGCCTTGACCCTGAATGTTTGCTTAGGGCATTAAGGTTTTCAGGTAAGTCCCCCTTCTCTCCCTCTTCTTATTCTCTATTACATAGATCATCATGGTTGTATGGCAGCGAAGCATCAGTTCAAATCGCTGATGTACTGCTGTTGTTGCTTTTGCTGATAATCCCATTGTACATTAACTGATCACATTTTGCACTCTTACCATGATAATGCTTGTGCAGGCGTGCCTCGCCTAGTCAAAAATAAACATTTTATTTATTTATTTATCGATGAGGTGAAAGCAACTCTGAATAGTACGCATTTCAACACCACGTAGAAGGTTCTGAGCATACGCTCGCGTACAATGGGCAAAACGCTATTAACGCCACTCCGAATCATTTTGTCTGCTTGCCCGCTCCAAGTAGAAAGTTTGGAGTGATGCTGCATACCATTGCCCAATGAAATGTCGAAGGTGTCCTGGAATGTGTAAGATACCATAAAGGCACAGAGAAGACGATAACATAGCCCGTTGGTTTTGTAGTACGAAAAGGTAGTTTCGAAACACACTGACGACAGTGACATAGATAGCCAACCACTTGTTATTTTTGTTTTAAACGGTTGCATTCATATAAGCGCACCGAGGCGAAGACACAGACGTTGCCGAAGAAGCGGAAAACAGGACTGCGAGAAATTCGAACTGCCGATTGCATACATGTTCGTCGCTTATCGTGTGCATTAAATCAGGGACCATATTGAGCAGCTCCATACGCGCATAAAGGATGTGGCTACTCAAGTGACAAGCGGCATTCGAATGTCAACGAAGCGCGAGCACTATGATACCCCGCCGCAAAAGCAAGGGGAGAGCAACGTCTGAACTTCAGCTGCTCCGAACCTAATCGGTACAATCAAGGTTGAGCGCAGAAACTGGCAAACGGGTCCATGTGCGAATAATAACCGTCAGTACCCATACCAGGTCTGATGAGTCTCGTCATGACGCCCACGGTTCACACACTAACCTCTCATATGCGTCGACAAGAATTTAACCCGGGAGACAATGTTGGCGGGACTATCCAGTACAGCAACGCCGCCCGAAAAACTACGGCGCAATCGTGACCTTATGGTGAAATCTTTGGAAGCCCCCATCATCCATTTTCATCGCTATTCAATGTGTATCAGCCGATGAAGAGGAGTTACACCGCTGGGAGTAACTTTAATCATCGTATGGTTGGGGTTGGCGTAACAGTAGATACTAGTCGGGAGGTATCACAGTGAAGAACCTCAGAAGAAGAGGCCAGTGGAAGGCCGTAACAGAGGATCAAAAATTATGCTATCCTGTGTGCCAATGCAAAACAGACGCGATTAAGGTGGCTAGCGGTTGTGTGGTCAACGGGACGAAACTACGCACCAGTGAAACGGGAAAATATGACGAAAAAGTGTAAAATCTTTATTTAAAGCTACCAGTTAGGACCATGAGGTTGAGGTGAACGGCGCCTTCGTTCAGTGACGAACCGCGTTACGCTTCGTCCAACTCTTCCTCAAACTCAGCATCATCATCCGCGGTAGCATCTTGATATTGCTGGTATTCACTGACCAAATCATTCATGTTCGACTCGGCTTCCGTGAACTCCATCTCATCCATTCCTTCACCCGTGTACCAATGCAAAAAGGCTTTTCGGCGAAACATGGCAGTGAACTGCTCCGAAACACGCTTGAATAGCTCCTGGATGGCGGTGCTGTTACCAATGAATGTGACAGACATCTTCAAACCACGAGGAGGTATGTCGCAAACTGCTGTCTTCACATTGTTCGGAATCCATTCCACGAAGTAGCTGGAGTTCTTGTTCTGCACATTAAGCATTTGCTCGTCAACTTCCTTCATTGACATACGACCACGGAAAATGGCGGCCACAGTCAGGTAACGTCCATGACGGGGATCACATGCTGCCATCATGTTTTTTGCGTCGAACATTTGCTGTGTCAACTCCGGTACGCTCAGTGCACGGTATTGCTGGCTACCACGACTTGTGAGTGGAGCGAACCCAGGCATGAAGAAATGCAGACGAGGGAAAGGAACCATATTCACAGCGAGTTTGCGCAAGTCCGCATTCAGCTGACCTGGGAATCGAAGGCAAGTTGTCACCCCGGACATGGTTGCGCTGACCAAATGATTGAGATCGCCGTAGGTCGGGTTCGTGAGTTTTAATGTGCGGAAGCATATATCGTACAGGGCTTCGTTGTCGATGCAGAAAGTTTCGTCAGTATTCTCAACCAGTTGATGGACTGACAGCGTTGCATTGTAAGGTTCAACCACTGTGTCCGACACCTAGATAGACGAAATAATGAGGGAGCTCAAACAGATGGGGCATCAAGCAACGAACAGCGGCCTAAACAAAATTAATGAATTACGACTGCGTAACGCTTAAGGCTGAGTCAGCACGCAAGTAAGCATTCAGTGTGTCGGGTAAGGGGAAAAACTGGAAACATGAGGGGGATAAAATGTCTCACCTTTGGAGAAGGAACAACGGAGAAAGTATTCATAATGCGATCTGGGTATTCCTCTCTAATCTTCGATATCATCAAAGTACCCATTCCAGAACCGGTTCCGCCGCCAAGCGAGTGAGTCAGCTGAAAACCTTGCAGGCAGTCACACGACTCCGCCTCTTTACGGACAACATCCAGAACAGAGTCCACCAGCTCGGCGCCTTCTGTGTAGTGCCCTTTAGCCCAGTTGTTCCCGGCCCCACTTTGGCCGAATACGAAATTGTCTGGCCGAAAGAGCTGACCAAACGGTCCAGCGCGAACGCTGTCCATAGTTCCGGGCTCCAAATCGACAAGGATGGCACGAGGGACATATTTACCACCACTGGCCTCGTTGTAATAAACGTTGATACGTTCGAGTTGTAAATCGGAGTCGCCATGGTAAGTACCAGTGGGATCGATGCCATGTTCATCGGATATTACCTCCCAGAACTATTGAATAAAAAGGGGGGGAATATCAGTGACATAGATGGAACGAGGTGACTATCATGAACAGAATGTCATGGCCGCGAACCGCCTGTTTATCCTACGAAGTGGGACGAGATAGCTGTTAGATTAAACGGGTCTGGCGACAGTTGCAAGTGGGTAAAACACGTAACCTACTCAAGCGAATGTTTGCATATCAACAAAGCACATTTTAAACGGATAGCGAATAAGCAAAACTTACCTTGGCACCAATTTGGTTGCCGCATTGACCAGCTTGGATATGCACGATCTCACGCATAGCAGAACAGGAGAGATGATAACGTCAGGAAGGCGAGCCGTCGAAAAGCGTAGTGGATTTACGCATTCCACGCGGTCTGTCGACAACGTGATCGATACAGGACCTGGTTCTGTTTACCGATTGGTTGAAAATGTTGACAACACACCGCCCCCGACTTCTGAACGCCTGTTCTTCACCAATGGGGGAGTGATGAGCATACAAAGGATTGACTTTGGCATGGGACTGAGGGGCAGAGATTCGGCTTGCGCCTGTCGGTGGTTGTGTGTATGTACAGTCCGGACGCAATTGCAGTTGTGCGTCGAATCGTGCCATCAGTGTCTGGCCTACGGTTCATTATAAGCTGCCGCTTAGGCTATTCCCCACAACGCATTTTTGCTATATCAGCCCGACAATCGACTTGACAACTTCACGGGTAGTGGTTTCTGACTATTATGACTGGCACATGGGCAGTGGCAGTTACGAGGCGCCTGCGGGAATGCTTAGTTCCACCTATAGATCAACATCTATATGAATAGCCTTTTTCTGTCAGCCATGTGAAATCCACTAATTATTCGGAACAGAAATTAGATGTCTTCTTTCCAGTTACCCAACTCGTGGTGTAATTAAGACGATAAAAGCCCATTCACATAACTTGCACTTCAAATTTGGATTTGCGATACCCGCTGTGCGGTTGATTGTGACACGCAATCTCTAGTCAGACCAAGGTTCGCTTTGAAATAGGCCTCGGTCATTACGATCACGGACCAAATCCGAATTAGACGTGGTCCGGTGTTGCTCCTTGCAACACCGAACTCTTGCACTTTTTAATGTAATCCACTGAGAATTGATGGTTGTGCGTGCTGAACGCACACTGCCCATCTACCATCGGGCGGATTTACACCGGTACTGCGCTTCATTGTGCACGTCTGCCCGATGGGATGCAGTCACTAGCGGTCTGCTCTCCGATCCGAGTGGTTTATTTGCAGGTGTTTGGGTACCAGAGAGTGCAACGTCTCTTATGGCATATGATTGACATTTTCACTACTGTGGATGCATCAGACTGCGAAAAAAATGTCACAGTGTGCCCAACCCGTAGTAGTCCAATCTGAAGATTATCCTGTGGCTGTTGGATTCAACAAGAAGCGTGCCTTCGTGCTAATTCCAACTACCTTTAAAACAGTGGCGTAGTAGTGGGGGGAAGGGAGACGGTCGGCCCCGGGCGGCGTGTAAGAGGGGGCGGCATTTTTAGTACCGCCGACTGTTGGATACCAAATACAAAGGTCAAAATTTCCAGATAACTTGTGGGTTGAATATTCTACTGTTATTCTGTATGATCAACACTATCTTTGTGCCGTCACACCTGTGCAAACCTTCTTCCCAGCGATCTCCTTACTTGTCCGATTGTGGTCACGTTCACCATATTTACTTTAGTGTGCCAAACGACCATCCATTTCATCGAAAACTAATGTGCACTTTACCCTGAGCTGATTGCGTGGCCTTTGCGCGTCTATTCTGCGCTCAGTAAGGGAGAAACTTTTACCACCGCCCGGACTGCACTGCATTTGCAACTAATTCTATGCAGTAGAGCTTATAGGAATAAGCAGGAAAGTGCTTCCTGGAACTCGGGCGATCATTGTCAAAATGGTGATCCATGCCCCGACGTCTCCAAATGCCCATAGTATAGCGTCGCCTAAAGGACACGAGTATTTTCAGACACACCAGATCCACACTCAGATCCGAAAAAGTATTGTTTGTGTTGATAGTGATGCACATGATTTCTTAACTTAGCGGACATAAGATTTTGATCGTCAGTTATGCCAATGAGAGTATGTGCACATTTGTACAAAAAACAAGAGTAAACTTTTATGTGTGTGTACATATGTGCACATTATGTACGAAGGCAATATATAGGAAATAAGAATCAAAGTAGGCAAACCAATTTCTAGCGTTGCTACCTTGAGCTTAGAAGTTATGATCATCTCTAAGAGGCAAATCGACTAACATCGAAAGCTGACATGGTTTTCAGAAGTTGAGGCGCGAACAATTTACTTAGGAAGATTGCTGCACATACATCTAAGCAGGCTGCAGCTTTGACCGCTTTGGCAACTTGTGCCACTTTCACTTGAATCAGCATGGCCAGGAAAAATATACAAATATCCAATCAGTTTTTAATCTATGATAGAGGCAGCGCTTTAATTTGCATACCAACAGCTACCCCCATTCCTGAAATACTTATCCGGGTTCTACCGCAAGTAATGGCTCCGAAAGTTTTTAGGCGTTTAAGCAAGTCATACATTTTTTGACTGTCCCATTTTGCTGACGCACATCTTTAGCTAATAGCCTGTACCGGGAGCCCAGAGAGCGATTCGAAAAGGCAGGTCGGGTTGCAGGGAAATTTTTATTGGTACAGTAAAAGGTTCCCTGTTACCTAGCTAAAAAAAGGGACACCGTTGAAGCTCTAGCTAGGGGACGGAGGATGCACAGCACATGGGGCAGTCGCGCGTTGCAACCGAGACGAGCGCCAAGCAAAAATGGGGATGAACAAGTCAAGTGTTCGAACTCAGCAATCAGTTCAACAAACCACACTGGTTGCCTAGGTGTACAATGAAATAATTTCAGTTAGAATTTTACACAGGCAAACAGGAGAATCTCCAGAGTACTACACATCAAATTTGGGGTTGGATTGAATACCTCTGATCCGTTAGTTAACCATCAGGATAGGCTAAGTCCCATGGATAACCATTTAACATTGGCCGCTGAAGGTGGAAGGGAAACCCACACCTTTCAGTTTGTCTTCTTGTGACGTGAATCAGTATAACCAATGAATTCGTGTATGGCATGCCTTAGGTGATGTTAAACAGAAGTGTGCCCCATCAGGAGTGACTTTAAAATCCCTTTTAATTTTACCACACTGAGGACAGCTCAATGACTGTTAGATAGGGATGATCAAGCTTTAATGCAGTAGGTGAGTGCGATCCGTAAAGTTCGATTACCCTAGTCAATAATCTTGTTTTTGTCTCTCGCAAACGGCTTGGCATACCGCACCACTGCCTCACAGGGAAGATAGCGGAGTATAACCACAGCACAAGTACCATTCTTAGCAACTTCCCACTATTGATTATCCGAATGATTTTCCAGTGGGCCATACAAAACATAGCGGTTTACTTTACCACTTCCTTCTCTCCTCCTCCAACATATACCATCGAACTGACGCGAATGCAGGAATCAAGCCAGAAATTTCTGCAATGGGTCAGATCTAAAACCTCCAGCATCAAGGAGTAAAGCATCAACCGGCTCGTCAACTAATTGCCACCGATCGAGCACCGAATACCTAAATAAAATCCGTTCTCTCCAATCAATGAGGTACTATCCCCGTTCATTCATGTGCAATTTAAAGCTAGTTATAATGTATAGAACTCGATTATGGTATATTGGGGATTTCTCAGAGCTAATTTTTCTTAATTTGCGTGACTTTTCGCAGCGGGGGCAGTTGTGTGAAATACTTAACATATTCGTTTACTACAACACTTATCGACCACCAATTACTGGGAGAGATAGAGGATACATTATGGTCTATTCTTTATGTACAACAAGAAAAACAACTTTTTGGTAGCGAATGTTTGGCGGCGTCCGGGTTTTGGTTTTGCCTTTCGCTGCTGTCGCCATGGGGACAGACGCAGTACGCCTTCGCCTACAGAGGGACCATGGATGGCTTGGGCTGCACCACCCATAGCTCCATTCATACACCCCCATATTCAGTGTAAACCAGAAGGAACAAGACCTGGAGGCGTGTGGATGGCAGCCAGGTTTCATCAGCGGAGCCCACCCACACTTCTTCAACAAGCAACACATAAGCATTTATGTCTAATTGGGAGGGCAAAGATTGTCCCCAATACCAGAAAGCTGGGATAACTATGTAGCCCAACAAAACCACTGCACTCAACTGCTCAGAGGACAAAGCCGCGCGTCAGTAGAATATGACAAAAACCTTCAGCGTCAAACAAAACTACTGTGTAAGCACGTCAATTGTCTACGGAAGGTGAGGCAAAGAGTTCTGTCACCCACGAACGGATACGGAAGCAGCGAACGCGCTGGGGATGGAAAATGTCTCCACCTTCCAGAGGGTATTGTCATCAGGAGATCCTCCATCTTTTGCCGCTCCGGTTGGTACTCACTCACATTTCCTTTATCACCGGAGCTGAGTTGCAGTAGCTGATCCTTCAACGCAAACAAAAATCCTCGGGCGTCGGTACTATTCTTCCTAAGGCATTGGGAGCAACATCAAGTCAACTGGCAGAGCTACTGGCTCAGTTCTTTCAGTGCTGCAAAGACCAGATCCAAGTTCCTGCCATGTGAAAGATAGGAATAACAACACCCATTCACAAAATTCGAAGCAAAACCGAGGCTTCAAACTACCGCCCAGTTTCCCTTCTCCCCATACTGTCCAAGGTGGTGGAAGCCATCATAGCTGATGCGTTGGTGGGTTATTTTGAAAATCATATTTCTGAGTAGCACGGCTCCCGTCGAAATCGACCGTACACAAAGAATTTACTAATAGCACGGACTAACTGGACCCAGTCAGCTGACGCTGGAGAGGACGCTGATGTGATTTACCCAGATTTTTCGAAAATATTCGACCGTCTATATCATCGGATAATCCTTTCCAAGCTGCATCGCCAAATAACTTCTCCAGCGGCAATTGGTGGCAAGAGTTCAGAGCTGCTTCTCTGTTCATGTACAAGTTGAAGGTGCTGTGATTCAAGTCTCGGTGTTAGGTCCCCGATTATTTTTGGTAGCTAACAAGGACCTCACAAACAATTCCATCGAATTTCCTGCTGTTTGCCGATGACGTCAAGATTTGGTCGAAGATTCTGAGGAATACTGACCTGCAACTGCTTTAGAGTGATCTAATCACGGTTCATCAGTGGTCCATGCAAAATTCGCTGCAATTCAATATGAGTAAATGTAAGACGTTCTCCCTGCGATCCTAGAGCAACCCCAGTTACACGCTCGGAAACCATGTCCTGCAGCGAGCTGCCACCGAACGTGATTTGGGCGTCCTGCTTAAAGATGATCTGAGTGGCTCTAGACAATCCGCGAAAGCCTCCAACATTGCTAAATA